AGAAAATTTTAAAAAATCAATATTTTCATCTTTAGAGAGATATTTTTATGCGATTTTTTTAGACGTTTTTCTTTCCGGCCAAGAGGCCACTCTGAATTAATGAGAACTGTCGAAATCAGTTCAGTCGTTCTCGACATATATGAGATCTTTCAAGCATATCTTCTTTGATAGACATATATATCGCACATATTTTGCTATATATTCGATTTTTTGGATCTTACCATCAATGTAAAGATCAGAAGTAACCTTGTCATGACTTTGAGATTTCGCCGGGATTTAAAATATTCGCGGTTTAATGAAAAATTTTAAATTTTTTCAACAAAAAAGATATGGTCTATTTTACCCGCTAAATATTATCCGATGACCACCCAAATTGGTAGGCTTCTTCCCCGCCCTAAACTCTAGCTACATGCGAAATTCCGCGTCGATTGGTCAATAATTGCGATCTGTATAGCTATTGCAAAATCCGACATTTTTTCAGTATTTGGTCCATTTCAACCCCTAAACATTTGGCGATCATCTCCAAAAGAAATAGGGTTCTATTCTGACCCTAGCCCCACCTCCATTCTAAATTTCGTGAAGATCGGGCCATAATTGCGACCTGTAGAGTGATTACAAATTAACATGGACAGACGGACAGACGGACGGACGGACATACATAGCTAGATCGACTCAGCTCGGCGAGCTAGGAAGATCCATATATACTTTCCTATGTGGGAAATCAATATTTCGTGGTGTTACATAATTTTTGGCCCAATCAAACTTATAATACCCCCAACACATAGTGTTGTAGGGTATAAAAAAAAGGGAATAATATGAAAAAATGAAAACAATCATTTTGAATGAGTCTGACAGGAAGGGGACATAGCCTTAGGGCTGTATATTTGTAGTTTTACGAAGCTGTTCTACCTCCTTATTGTACCATGCTTGCTAGTAATGTTCACTATATTTTAGTTGTTGTTATTATTATTTTTTTTAAGATCCAAAGCATTTTCCCACAGCACGCCAATGGGTTAAATTCTAATCCCAGCAAAATAACCGCGGGCGCTTAAAACACACACATACACAAACATACAAATAATTGTTCTTTGTCTAAGCACAGCAACTCCAAAAACTAACGATCCATAGAAAGACACCAAATCTGTCTAACAAAACTCTTTTGAGCAAACTAAATCATACCACACAAAATTCTCTCCAAGTCTTCTAAATGGCAACCAGCCCACAACTACACCGTCTTCACACCCCAACAATCGACAACAAACATTCTCTAAATGTTTACCTTGAAAGGTGCAACTGAGACGTAAAAATGGAAATACAACAACAAAAATCTAATACAAATGGAAAATAAAACTCACCACTCAGCTTGCAGCTGCAAAAAATTAAAAGAACACAACAAAACGGTCAGTTAAAATGTGGTAACTAACACAGGTACACCTTCATTTGAGATCATTGCAAACATTAGAAAAAGCTTATAAGTGGCCCGAGTGGTGAGTTTAGAGCCAAGAACGTTGGTCATAAACTCGTTACGCTTGGTTTGCTGCTCAGTGCTCGCGCGCATTAACAGCGTTATAACGAAAAGTCTCCACAAGCATTATGATCGGTGAGATACAATCGTGAACAGAGTTGGGAGTGTTAAATTTATAAAAAATATATTTGAAATTCTTATTTTATTCGATGATGTGATTAAAAATTGGACCGGCCGAACCAAGATTGCCATTTGAATATTATTTTTTCATTACTAAAGGGAAAGATTGCACTTTAATAACAAATTTTAATAACTATTCAGAGGTTTTATTACAGGATTTTTAAACAAAAATCAAGTTATTTGACGAACCCTGTATTTTGAACATAGCCTATTAAGTCTCAAATCAAGTTTTCTCAAAACTTTCTCATAGAACTATAATACGACTAGCAAGTGCCCGCTTTCGTCATCATAATTTATTCTAGATTCATTCAAACAGTTCGTGTTGAGCCGTTTTAGTACTCAAATGCACAATTTGTTCGGTTGGACAACATTTTTTAATCAAAACTTCATACATCATAATAAATTTTCAGACCTTCAAGGTTTTATATAGCATTCAAGTTTTTCCTTTTTCGGAAAGAATAATATGAAAATAATATCTACTTACACCAAAAGTCTTCAAAATCTTTCAATTTTAAATTTACCGAGGAGGATATTATTAAAACGATTGCACAATAAACTCACATCGAACTTTTCTGTTCAAAATCTCCATATGTAAATCCTAGATACCAACTGTGACCTCAATATCAAATTTCAGAATTTTTGCTCTATCTCTTCACCCAATACCAAATTTAGTAACATACAGTACACATATCCAAAACTATCTACATCTATCCATACCAGAACCCACATTGACCAATTTCGTAACATTTCATTTTTTTTTCGTACAGTTATAATTCGCATTTGCAAAACCACCACCACGTATCACCTTAATACAAAATTGTGACCTTAATATAAAATTTTAGGCTTTCATCTGTATACCTTCACTCAATACTAAATTTAATACTTTTCGAAGTACTCATTTCTTTAACAGCGAAATTTATATCAAATATCGGGATTTCATCTCTACCAGTACAAAATTTAGTACAATTTAGTACCTTTCGTGCAATTATGATACACAGTTCCGAAACCACATCCATATGTGCCGGCTATACATGAACAGCGACCTTACTCCCAAATTTCAGATTTCAAACACTATCTGTTCACCCAATACCAAAATCACCTTTTTACCCCCAACATACTGTTCGTACCTTATTAGTACGAATTTCCCAGCCTTATCACATGCCTGCGCATCAAGACTGACCCTCGTGGGAAAATTTAAAGATTCTAACTTCAGCCGTTTCGTCTGGGCATTGATTCTTTGTCAGTCAGTCAGTTATTTCGTCGTTAGGGACGTGGGGTCTAAAGTAAATATTCCGATGAGGCACATTGTTGATTTTAGCCATAAAGTTAATGAATCCGAGAACATAATACGATTTTATTCAAATTTCCACTTCGTCATCAATTGTGAATCTCAATCATGTGAAAATTACGACTTTTCGCACAAAATGTTAGCAGTCGTTACCAGACCTCTAAAAAAACCTGCGGAAAAAACTCGCTCGAAATCGAATAAAAAGTGAAACTCACTCGAATTTCAACGAGTTTTTTTCGCAATCATTCCTGGGTGTAGAAAAAATTGAGCATACTCCATGTTCCGATGTCGTTCGAATTAAAAGGAGCAGGCTCCCCCATTAGTACCAACAAAGCATTCGATAGTGTTGTTATTTTTTTTTGTTTTTGTACACAAAACTCACATGTCCCAAGCATCCATTATTGTTCTCCACATTGATTTTGTACCTCTCTCTCTATTTTTCCAACAAAAGTGACTCGGAGAGGTACCAAAGATCATTGTTGTGGAGTGCATATTGCGCATGTTATTAACTTAATCCCGAAATCGGATGAAACATATATATATATATATATATATATATATATATATATATATATATATATATATATATATATATATATATATATATATATATATATATATATATATATGTATGGGATCTGTAGCTATATTTGAACCGATTTTCATCAAATTTTAAGTGTTTGTTTCTTGGATGAATTCAGTCGGAATTACCAAAATTCAGTTCATTTGGACCGATATTAGTCATTTGGTGCACAAAGAAGACCTGAAATTGGATAAATATATATATGGGAGCTATATCCAATTCTGACCCGATCTTTAAAAAGTTTCTGAGCTGTTTGCAATATCTGGTACCAGAGATCATTGTTGTGAAGTACATATTACGCATGTGAGGAACTTAAAACCCCAATTCGGATGAAACATATATATGGAAGCCATAGCTATATCTGAACCGAGTTTTATCAAATTTGAAGTATTTGTTTCTAGGATGAGTTCAGTCGAAATTGCCAAAATTCAGTTCATTTGGACTAATCTTAGCCATTTGGTACATAATATACCATATAACGGATAAAGATATATATGGGAGCTTTTTCCAAATCTGATCCGATCTAAATAAAATTTGACAGAGGTATTTTCGAGCTCTATAAGTTATCTGATACCAAATATCATTCTTGTGGAGTGCATGTAAGGGACTTAAAACGCCAAATCGGATGAAACATTTATATGGAAGCTATATCTATATCTGAACCGATTTTTACTAAATTTGATGTACTTGCTTCTAGGGTTAATTTGGTCACAATTAACCCGAAACCGGTTGAAGATATATATACGAGCTATGACTAAATTTGAACCGATTCTTGGCCCGCTTTGGGCCAAGCAACTGATTTGTGGATAATTTCATCTCAATCGTATAATAAATGCGACCTGCATTTCGTTTACAAAAATACATGGACAGACGGACTGACATGCATAAATTGACTTAGAAAGTAATTCTACGAAGATCCTCAAGAGTAACTATGGGTCTATCTCAACAATACAAATGCACAAAGACAAAATACCCTTACAGGGTATAATTAAAACTTTCCTGTAATATACTCAAACACATTACCCATCCCTGGTTTGAGGCTGGCTGAGAGCAATAAGTCTCCATCGTCAATTGGCTAAATTATTTTTTATTAGAGAAGATAAAGCTAAGCTCATAACGTTTGCTAACTGTGGTAACAACACAATGGCCCACAATGCCTTGTGTAAAGGCAGCGAAGCAGCAAACGCAGCAGCGTGAGTACGTCAGCGTCAAACACCCAAGCAATAAGGCAACACATTTTACACGCTCTACCACCAACGTCAGAAAGCTGGCTTTGCTTTGCAGCAGATCATGGCAGAGCTAGCCAGTCAGCCAGTTGGCCAGGTATGCCAAAGCGATTGCAAATGAATGAATGCTGATGTTCAAGTTGATGGTGTTGGCTAAAACAAAAGTTTTGAGCACGGTTTAGTCGTGAGATGGTAACTGAATAGAACGGGTAACGTTACGGCAAAGGTAATTTTAACGTGATTTAAACAAAAAATTGTGTTTTGTGAACGATTGTGGAGCGTTGGTGCGTCGTGTCTTTGGCTAAGAAGATCTCAAAGAAAAAATCGATCAACATTTTAACGATTGCCCATTAATAATGAGAAAGTGTGATTTGCAAAACAAATTAAAATAATAAATTTAATGACAAAATACCACTAACCAAACACACGCACACACACACAAACGTAAATACATACCCAGTAAAAGTAACCAAATAGCTAACAGTGAATCTCAGTGAATGTTTATATAATTAAAAAACCAACATTGCTAGGCAAACAGCCAAACGAAACGAGTTTAACAACGAAAGAAAAACAACAACAACAACGAAAAATAACACAGAAAAAAAATCGCAAATAAAAAGCTGATCTAATGTTTTCAAAGCTTTTACGGTATCTATGCATGAGTGTAGTGGTCAAATGAAAAGAGAAGAAACAAATACAAAGGCAAAATATGTGATCAAAAAAATTACAAATTTGATTCGAAAAAATAAACGAAAAATTTAATTTAAAAATAATTATAAAAAAAGATTTTAAACTCATAACTATGGAAAAAATATGAATTTAAAATTTTATATGCGTTTATGTAATTAAGTAACAAAATCTGAATATTAAAAACCACAAGATTTCCAACAGCTTAAGTGTTTCTTTTTCATTTTTGACAATGAAGGTCATGAAGCCAACGCAAATTTGAGTTGTGTTCCAAAAAACAAGCAACCAAACAAGTGATAAAAGAGCAACAACATCATCGTCGGCGGCGTCAGTGTCTTCAACGTCAAGATCATCGCCATCAACATCACCCATCATTAAGAAGCAACCCACATATCCAACAAAATATTAATGACAACAAATTGAATAATACATAATTAGTAATGCCTTAAAATCCCAAAAGAAATATCACCTTCAGTGAGTCCCAGCGACATTGGGGAGTAAATTAATTTCTTTGCCAATTTAGTTTTTGGTTCAGTATTACAAAAATGTACAGATGAATGAAATGATAAATGATCCAAAACAAAAATTGTGACACCATCAACCAGCCGAAAATGATCTCGAGAAGAATACACGTGTTTTAAGTTTTTTTAACAGTCAATAATTAAATTATTAAGAAATACCAAAAGTAAATAAACATTAAATAAACCCATTAAACAAATAAATACATATTTGGTACTAACCATAATTTGTGAAATTTTGTTCAATGTTTAACAGTTACGAAATGTATTGGAATCACGAATTTGTAAAGAAATGTTGTCATATATATGTAAAGAAACTAATACGCCAGTTGTATGAAACTCTTATGCATTCTGTAGATATTTTAGGGGTATTCAAGCTTCTTCTGGACTTAGAAGTCAGATAAAGCGGTATAAGGGAAGCATTTTTCACAACTTCTGCGTTTTACAACATAATTAGCCAACTGGCGATTTTAAAAAAGTAGTCAGCTGTAAAATTTTAATATTGCATGTAATTTTATCAAAAATAAGTGAATGGTTCATTCCGATATTTAAAGTGACATTTGGGTAGAATATTTCTTCTTTTGGTACTTTTTTGGAAAAACAAGACATTATTTTTTTATGAAAAAAGTCCGAGGAAAAACTGATATAAAACTTAGTAACAAGTAAGCAAAGGCTATAGTCGTGCAGGGCCGACCATGTGATACCCTACAACACTACAATATCTTAGAAGCCCCTTATGTCCAAATCCATTTTGGAAGATTTGCTTTTAAAATGTTTTACGGAGCACTATCCAGATATTACCCTTAGCATTTTGACCAGGGAGATTTGCCCAATATTTACCCACTCCGTCGTGATGCTAGTTGTTGTCGTCCATTTCAGAGCTAAATATAATCCAATGGGCATCCAAAATGTTCGAATTTTTCCCTGTCCTTAACTTTTTTCACAGGCGTGTCGATTGGCTTAAATTGTGTGATCAGGAAACTTTTTCTGTTTTTGGTTTATTTGAACCCCTAAATATTCTGCGATCATCTTTATCTCCAAATTTAGACTCATCTATTTGATTTGCTTACCTACAATAATTGGCTATATTCGTCAATGAAATCAGCATAAAAAACCAGAAGTTCCCCTTTTGTATTTCAGATGTCGCCTGTAAGTAATGATGGTATTTTTTCATACAAAAGTAGTGGTCCATTCTACCCGCTGTCCTGAAATCTCACTTCATGCGAGATTTCGTGTCCTCTGGTTTCTATTTGTGACCTTTATAACTGCTGCAAAATCAGGAACATTTTTAGTTGTTGGTCCATTTCAACACCTAAATATATTGCGGACATTTTTGAAAACAATATGCCTAGCCCCTCTGAGCCTAACCCCACCCTTATGAACAATTTTGTGAGGATCGTGTTACATAATTTTTATCCCAATCAAACTTATAATACCCTCAACACATAGTGTTGTAGGGTATAAAAAGCAACTAAGTTCGGCCGGGCCGAACTTTTAATACCCTCCACCATTTCGTAGGAAATTTAAATTTTTCACAAAAAAAAAATTCCGAAAACTACCACTTAAATGAAAACCGTCATAGGCTGTAGTGTCCATTACGAACTCCAAATATGAAATTTGTTACAATTACGGTTAATAATGTCACAAAAATCATAAAATACGGAGTATCGGGAGGTACCGTCATATGTAGGCTATACGAAGACGCGGACCTGCACACGAATTTTTTTGCCATAAGTTGTAGTACCCATTAAGATCTTTCAATGCGAAATTTGAAAAAAATTCTCGTGAATAATGTCGCTAAAATCATGAAAATACCGAATATCGGGAGGTACCGTTATATGGGAGGTTATACGAAGCTCTGAACCTGCATACAACAATTTTGCCCATAGGTTTTAGTACCCATTAGGAACTTCCAGTCCAAATCTTCCGAATTTTGAAACGATTCCGGTGAATAATGTTACTGAAATTATTGAAATACCGAATATCAGTACGTACCGTTATATGGGGGCTATACGAAGACTTGGAGCAGCATACAAACATTTTTGTCATAGGCTGTAGTATCTATTACGAACTTCAAATACGAAATCTTAAATAATTCCAGTAAATAATGTCGCTAAAATCATGAAAATATCGAATATCGGTAGGTACCCTTATATGTAGGCCCTACGAAAACGTTTACGAACTTAACCTGTCTAGTTGTAAACTATGCATGTATACAAAATTTTATTTTTCTATCTCAATACGTTCGAAAGATAGCGGGATTATAACAGACAGACGCACGTCCAGAATATATATACTTTGCAGGGTCTATTTGGAATATTTCGGGGAGTTACAAACGGAATGCCAAAGTAAATATACCTTCCATAGAATGGTGGAGGGTATAAAAAATTCTGTCTATGTAAAATCTGTCCATATCGGCAACTGGTTGGCCACCAATCATAATCAACAAAGCCCTAAAAAAGGGTTTTGGGTTGTTGGTCCAAACCATTTATGACCTGTATAAGTCCAAACTTATCTAATAATATGTGCGAGATTTTGCAATATTTTTCATCGAAGCTTTGAACTTTTGGGGAAATATTTCGAAATTGCCAATGTAGGAGAGAACGTTTGGTATATCGAAGTTCTTAGGCAATTTTTTTATCAATTCGGTTGAAGTTGGTATGTGGTATAGAAGATAAAACTCTATACTTCTAATGTTTAATAAATTTGACAACGTCCTAACCTTGGTACATTAAGAAGATAGAACAGTTTCATAAAAACATCTCTGAGACTTTACCCGATTCCTGTCAAATTTACATGCAACAACTGTCTCGATGTATTCGATATTTTTCCTTAAAATGAGTTAAATAGGAAGTAAAATGATTGAAATGCCTGGATTTTCTTTCAAAAATATGATCTAAACAATTCAGTCTTTTTTGTTCATGGCAAAACTGGCGCGTCTCGCAATGTACGTTTCTTCCAATCATTAATTTTGAAAATACTTTGTTTTTATTTTACAATAAATTGAAATTTTGGCTTTTATCTAATAGCTCTACTTTACCTTTTTATTATACCGTGGCTCTAATTCAATTTTAAAATCCATTTGGTATTTTAGTTTCTCCCAAGAATATTTGATTCAACATTCCTGTAGAGAGAATTTTACAATGTCACCCACACCCACATTTTTACTGCATTATTCTGACTGATACAAATTAGTCTGAATGTTGAAATAAATAGATACAATTTATATATGTTAGCATCTTCTGAAATACATTGCATTCCGTCTTTAAAAGATTAGATGAGAGATACATTTTTTCTTTAATAAAACACAAAAAATATTTAATTTTAGTTTTTTTTTTTTGCCAAATTATGGTTTGAATTTCCTAGTTCATTATAATAGGAAAACCCAAAAAAATCTGCCAACCTCTAAAAATTGTTAGTCTCCACCACTTTGTAGCCAAGTTTCAAAACTATAATGATTGATTACTGTTGTTACGCTCCATATACACAGCTCTACGAGTTTGTTAACATCCGGAATTGGTAAATAAGAAAATATTTGTGTGCCAAAACTTGTTGTTTATGTAAATCATAGAGGAAAATACAAAAGAGGGGTTGGGCCTTTTCACACACACAGTAAAATGTGTTTAACAGGTTGTTTGTTAACTGCAAGCAAAAGTGGATATATAAACGGGGAAAAATGAGGAATGGGAATTTTAGCTGAAGAGGCCTTTTAAAATAGATGAAATGTGGGATATTCGATACAAATACGGCAAGGAAGCCTATTTTTGGGCACCTTAACCGCATTTTTTTAAACAAGTAAGAAAGTTTTGCATTTTGGATTCTCGTTAGATTAAAATTCCCCCTACGAAATAAATTGGCGTATTTTTTGATGTATGTTATTTATGACGTTACCGGTCCATTTTAGATAATTTGAAGAAAGAGTGACTTAACTCTTTCAAAACAAAATTACGGTAATTTTATATCTTGAAATCAAAATAGCTGGAGCACATCCTCGCAAACAATATCAATGTATGTCCAGGTTTCGGAATAATGTTAGAAGAAATCCAGTAGATTCTGAAAATAGATTATCTTTATATAAAGCAGATTTTTTTGCTAGTAGCGTGTCTACATATTAAGAATACATAATACCAACATTTTTATGAAATTAAACGGAAAATATGACTAAATCGTAAAAATACTTGAAAACTGGGTTTGCCAAAAAAAAAAAAAAAAAAAAAAAAAAACTATACCAAAAGGCATCGGAATGTCCCATTTTCTAGCTCCCTAACTTTTTAAACCTCTATACTAAATGTTGCGAAATATATCTCGAAATTATGGTTCCCTATGTAAAGGCTAATAAAGGCATAAAAAATGTCGACTAATAATCCTAAACTCTTTTTGGGGCTTCGAGTACCTGAGTACTATGAAATCCACTATATATTCCACAACCCAGACAGGCTATCGGAAGGTGATATTAAAAGAAACCTTTCAACAAATCCGAAAAAGGGCCAAATTTACCGAAAATTATTTTTTTATAAACCAAAATTTTTGTTATTTTTTCATGGTACATATTAAGTATACATTTTTTTTATCGGAGACTCCTTTGGCATTTTTCCAAAAAAAATAGGTATTAAGGAAGATTTTGACTTAGAATAGAAAAGTGTGAAATTAGCAGCCAAAAATCTAAACAAATAATTTTCGCTCTAAATATGTACATTTCGAATTCAATTATCTCAAAAGATATTAATTGTAGATACATGGTTTATTTTGATTGAATAGTGAAATTTTGTGAGGAATATTTTTTCTTCAACACTTTTTACCTACAACGTGGAGAGGGGAAACCTGCTCTTTCTATTTTAGAGGGGAATCTGTATTTATTCCTCTTAATATAAAGTCAGAATAACCAAGGATTTTCTTAATCGGCCAACCAAATTTTTTCCTTTGGCTAATTTTAGAAGGTTGATAATTCTACACATGACTCACGAGTTAACTTACAAAAAGTTCTATGAAAAGTCGGCCTTAAGATGAAATCCGTATGGGATATGAAGTAAGGGAAGCACAATTAGTTTTCATCTCCTCAGATGTCTTTGGGATTCAGTAAATGTCCTGATGAACTGTAAAAGAGTACAGGTTGTGTTGCTGTCTAAAGCAGATATATTCAGAAAATTTTGATTTAAAATCCCATTTTTCGTCATTTCCCAACCACACCCTAGGTGTACAATTTTGAGATCAGCCAGAAAGGGGAAACGCAACCTCATTTTAGGGATTTAAACATTTTCCATGGGACAAGAGTTTGGAGTTTTACGGTCAACATATTTTTTTTACTTGGAGCCTTAATTAATAAATAAATGCCCTCAAAAGTGTTGCAAAAATGTACCCCGGTACAGTATTTCCTGTATAAAAAATCTATTCAAAATAGTAAATTTGGAGATGAAGTAAATTTTTTGGGAAATATAAAATTGTAACTTAAAGTATTTTTTTTTTCTTGGCCATTTTTATGAAAGTGTAAAAAATCCAGTCTCCTGAAAATTGAATAGAGTTCTTTACCTTAATGAAGCATATTCCTATATTCTTTCATTATTATTATTCAGTAGAAAATATCTAATCTGGAAACAATCCTTGCGCCCATTTAACTGTTTCCACCTATAAAAATTTAACCATGGATAAGAAAAACAAAAACGGCCGAGCCGAAATTTGAATACCCTCTACCATTTGGACGAATTTGAAAATTTTCAAAAATATAAAATCCGCTAAAAAGTCTGTTAACAGGAAGTCGCCGTTATATTGGGGTGTATATGGAGAAGTGAATCTGGGAAAACCTGGTGAATAATGTAGCTAAAATCATTAAAATACCAAATATAGGAAGATATCGATACATGGGGGCTATACGAAGACCTGAACGTACATTGACAATTTTCTGTCACAGGCTGTAGTACCCATTGGGAACTTCAAATACGGAAATTCAAAAATGTCGGTGCATATTGTATCTAAAATCGTCAAAATATCGAGTATAGGGAGCTTATACGAAGACCTGGACCTACATAGACAATTTTCTGTCATAGACTTTAGAACCCATTACGAACTCTAAATACTAAAAAAATCGGTGAATAATGTCCCAAAAATCGTCAAAATACAGAAAATGTTGTATGGGGGCTTTACGATATCGTGGACCTATATGGACAATTCTCTTCCAGGGTGTAAAGTACCTAGAAAGAACTTCTTGCGTAGATTTTCACACAAGTCCATTGAAAAATGTAGCTAAAATCATGAAAACCCGAATGTCGGGAGCTACCATTCTATGGGAGATATACAATATCGTATATAGACAATACTTTTTCGGGAGGTACTCAGAAGGAACTCTTTGTGTGGATATGGGAGATATACGACATTGTGGATCTATATAGGCAACTCTCTTCTAGTGGGTAAAGTACCTAGAAAAAACTTCTTGTGTAGATTTTCAGACAATTTGGCTGCAATCATCAAAATACTGAATATTGGGAGAACCGTTATATGGGGGCTATATGATATCGTGGACTGATATAGCCCATCTTCGAACTTGACCTGCCTGCACACAAAAGACTAATCTGTGCTAAATTTAACTTCCTATCTTAATTCGTATTGACTCTAGCATGATAACAACAGACGAACAGGACAACGGACGGGCAGGGCTAAATCGTCTAAGAATTTTACGCCGATCAAGAATATATATACTAAGTTGGGTTAAAACTATTATTTCGGTGAGTTACAAAAGGAATGACGGACTTAGTATACCCTCCATACTATGTATTGTGAAGGGTATACAAATAATACCCATTAACTCAATATTATCGCACAGAACGCAACTTGTATTTCGGCTTACAACTTGTCGTTCTACGCACTACCCACCACACGGATCGATCACACGTTCGCAAACCTTACGAAAATATATCCGCTCTCCACAAATCAAAGGCGTCTGTCACTTAAGTTTTTGACATAATCAGATTAAACGGATGATGATTTTTTCTCTCTTAAATCTACAGTTCCCTTTATTTTACTTGGTCGGTGAATTGAATACAACACAACGCGAAAAACTACTTTTATTCATTTTAAATTTTAAAACCAATCTCAAGGTAATCTAGGTTGCGTGTTTTACTTTTTTTGGTTTTGGATATATTTTTTTTTTATTTATTTTTCTGTTAAATTGTGTTAATTGTATGTGTGGCTCTGCAATATCAACGTATATCACATTTTTGTGACTTGCTAAATGCAAGTATTTCGTTTGTACATGTCGTTGGAGTAATAAAAAATACAATACAACAAAAACAAAAAAAAAATAAAGTAAATTTACTTTGTGAGCCGTGTTGCCAAACCAGCCAACCAGACCTTAAACAATAAAACAACGTTAAACATACTAGTAGTACACATAGTTGGAGTTGTTGTTTGATGCACTTGGTGGCGATGATGATGATGACGATGACGCCGATGATGTTGTTGTTGTTGTTGATTCAAAAAACATTTTCCTTAAAGAAATAAATGGTAAACAACAAACAAACATACCGAAAACCCAGCGCTCTTTCTTTTGCAATTTGGGTGCTATGCTGTGCTGCTGCCGCTGCTGGCTTTCATTGCATTTGAGACCAAACATAACATCACCGTAAAGCAAACCAACCCGACCGACCAACCAACCGCTGCCACTATAATCAACATCATCATCATCATCCTCAACAAGTTTTAAAACCTTTTGGCCAGGCCAAGAGAAAAAGTTAAAACACATTGTTTTTTTTTGTTGCTCTTGTCATTTTGCTGTGAAGTGTGTTGTGAATGTGTTTTTATTTTATTTTGTTTATTTTCCTTTTCTTCGTAGCGTTGTATAAAGAAAAGTTGCAAGAGAAATAATACAAAACAACAACAACGACGACGACGACGGCTAAATATATAAAGAAAACAAAAACAAAACCAAGAAAATACAAAAAAAAAAAACAACTAAAATAACGCAAATTGGGAAAGTGTATACGGTTTTATTTTGGAGACTTTTTCTTGCTGGACAACTTGACGTCTTGGAGCAGTAGCCAACACCTCAATACCCGTACTCCACACCGGCAAAACGCCATCACCCAAAGTAGGAAGTATAAATGTATACTTGATTGTGGTAAGTAAAGGCAATAAAATACTTTATAAAGTACATGGTTACTTGAACACCTAAAAAATAGCCCACATTTAAGTAAAATTGGAACATTGTTCTAAATGTTTTGAAAAAAAATATTGTTAAAAAATAAATAAAAAAATATTGTTAAAAAAATTATAATAGAAGTGGGCAAGTAAAATTTGAGGAACTAAGGAAAAATGTAGGAAAATTAAAAAAAAAACTACCAAAATGTGTTCGATGTGATTTTTAAAATTTTCTTCATATGTTTGGAGAATTTGAGCCAACTTAGATAAAAGTTTTGTATTACAAGCGATTTATTATTATTCCAAATGTTTATCCGCTAAAAAGGAGGTGGAATCACAAATGTAGTGTAATCGACTCTGAATTTTGCATGGGGTTACATTTTTTTGCAGAAAAGAAGTTCATCTGTTAACATTTAGTAACCGAAATCTATCAACATTATGTGTAAACAAGTAAGCAAAGGCTACAGTCGAGCGGGGCCGACCGTTGAATACCCTACAACACTATAATAAACGATACAGTTTATATAGGCGAGATACTCGAAAGAATTCCACAAGATATTGTGACAAATAATAAAAGAAAACCATCAGGTTTCGTTCCCTAATTTTCGAATAATAGCAACATAAACTAATTTGCTCATTTCCAATTTATTGGTAGATGTTGCACGTAAATGGTCTTCCTAGATCTGGAACCAATATTTCCCAAAGACCTATAATCTCTCAGAAGTGGCAAAAGATTAACATTTATTATTGGTTTTTGACTGAAACGCATCTACAAACATTTGACTATATTCTTCAACGAAATCAGCGTTAACGAAATAGTCAGAAGTGCGTCTTTCCTGTATTTGTGAATTCTCCAAAAAGTCACTGGAATGGACATTTTCGTATTTTTTCTACAAAAGTTGGCAAACTATTTCACACATTGAATATTTTTGGATGGCCATCCTAAACTGCTTGGCTTTTGCAATGTCCGGTAACCCCCATTCAAATGTGCCTGAGAATCGGGCGATAATTACGACCTGCTGACAATTTTGCAGTTTTTTGGTCCATTTCAACCCCTAAATATATGGCGATCATCTCCAAAAAGAGTAGGCTTCTATTCTGACCCTCATCTTATCCCCATGCAAAATTTCGTTCCGATCGGGCCATAAATGCGATCTGTATATGATATCCTGATATCCTAACTACTTAGTTTTGTTAGCTGTAGAAATATTACCAAATGTTTAATTCAAAATGAAAATATGCCAAAAATATGACAAAATTGAAAAAATATGAGAAAATTTTACAAAATCAATATTTTCATCTTTAGAGAGATATTTTTATGCGATTTTTTCAGACGTTTTTTCTTTCCTGCCAAGAGGCCATTCTGAATTAATGAGAACTGTCGAAATCAGTTCAGCCGTTCTCGACATATATGAGATCTTTCAAGCATATCTTCTTTGATAGACATATATGTCGCACATATTTTGCTATATATCCGATTTGTTGGATGTTAACATCAATGTAAAAATCAGAAGTAACCCTGTCATGGCTTTGTGATTTCGCCGGGATTTAAAATATTCGCGGTTTAATGGAAAATTTCGAATTTTTTCAATACAAAAGATATGGTCTATTTTACCCGCTAAATATAATCCGATGACCACCCAAATTGGTAGGCTTCTTCCCCGCCCTAAACTCTAGCTACATGCGAAATTCCGCGTCGATTGGTCTATAATTGCGACCTGTATAGCTACTGCAAAATCCGACATTTTTTCAGTATTTGGTCCATTTCAACCCCTAAACATTTGGCGATCATCTTCAAAAGAAATATGGTTCTATTCTGACATTAACCACACCTACATTTTAAATTTCGTGAAGATCGGGGCATAATTGCGACCTGTAGAGTGATTACAAATTAACATGGACAGACGGACAGACGGACGGACGGACATACATAGCTAGATCGACTCAGCTCGGCGAGCTAGGAAGATCCATATATACTTTCCTATGTGGGAAACCAATATTTCGAGGTGTTACATAATTTTTGGCCCAATCGAACTTATAATACCCCCAACACATAGTGTTGTAGGGTATAAAAACGATATATTGATTCCCGGAGAAATCATATATACATGAAAAGGTTACTTCTGAATTTTTTAATTATGATGATATGGGAGACTTGTCACATCTTAAAAATTTAGCAAAATATGCTATTGTTTGTTATACTCCCATTAGCATGAAAGAGGATATAAATACAGGGCAATTGCCATGAACTTTCGCATGATCTAGTGTCTTCGGTAAAAAAAAGTCTGACCATCATTTTAAGAATAAAATGGACCAAAACTTACTTGGACCATATATTTTACACTGTGCGACAAAATTCATTTTTTTTTTTCAATAATTACTGGGAAAATTCGGTAGATTATGAAAAAAGTATAGAAGACACGTGTAGAGGGCATGTCCCCTTAAATTTTCGGACAAAAATTCCTTGGATCCAATTATGCTACGGCAGAACAATAAAAGGATTATTTGGTCGAAAATCTTAACCCACAAAGAGGTCACCAAAAGAATTTGTTGATCTATTTGGCAAGACAAAATATTCTAAAAAATAGTTGTCATAAAATACAACATGGAGTCTCAGAAGAGAGAAACATTTTAAAACATAAATGAAATGGCTCAATCAATCTCAATCTTGAAATTGTGCACTAGGGTTAATCTTGGCATTAGATAAGGCATGCTTTTTGCAAATTCACACTTAAAAGGTACGAAAAGTACTAAAATGTACTAAAAATTTAATACTTTTTATTGGACAAACAGAATGAGCTGGAATTCAGAAATTTAGAATGAGAGCCATTGATAAAGTGCAGGATTGATGTACGAAAGCGTTTTTGGAAATACGAACTTTAATGTTACCAAAGGTTCTCAAATGATACCATTTGGTGGTGTGTGTTAACGGCTAAAAACTTACAATTTGATATTGGAATCAGGGTGGGAAAGTAAGTTTGAAATATGAAGGTGATTTTGGAAACGTGTACCAAGTGTTCGAACTGTACGAAATGGTACTAAATATGGAACATTTTGGCTTGAGGTGAACGGATGAAGCTTGAATTCTGAAACTTTTTATTAGGGTCTCTTTTGGTAGTAGGTTGTGATAAAGAGCTGGGTTTGGAAATGTGTTCTGGAAGTGCATGAAAAGTACTAAATAGTACTATATTTGGTACAATTTGGTATTGGGTGAACAGATAGTGCTTGCAATTTGGTTTAGGGTTGCTGTTCATCTTTAGCCTCGATACATGGATGTGGTTTTGGTATTAGGGTCGCTGCTCATGTATAACCTAGACATATGGAGGTGGTTTCGAAAATGGGTATTATAATTTAATTTATTTTGATTATTAATTTAATATCTTCATATATCTTTTTACTTTTTTTAAATTTTATTGAAAGAAAGCCAAAAATTTCGGAAATAGCATCAAAGTTTAGAATAAGTTTAGATTTGTCACCCGCTGCCCGATTGTTTCTCTGCGGTATTTTGGCCCATTCCCAGCGAAGCGCTTGCTTGAGGTGATCGACACTTTGGTATTTTTTAGTACCAACCTTGCTTTCCAAAATACTCCGGACACAATAGTTCAACGGATTGGTATCCGGAGATTTTGGTGGCCATAGTGCGCAGGAAATAAAGCGAGCAACCTCATTTTGTAACCATTCTTGACTGCTGGACTACGAATGTTTTCTCATCGGAGAAACCCAAATTCGACAGTCACCACTTTCGGGCAAGTGTGGCAACTCTTTAGCTCTTTTGAGTCTATTTTCTTTCTGTTGCGGTGGAAGTTCTTGCACTTTTTGGAATTTCAATGGTAAAGCCCGAGCTCATTTTTCAATAATTATCGAATGGAATATTGCGTTATGTTCAACTCACGCGGGTTTCGATCAAGTCGCTTCGTTACTTTACGAACCATTTCTGCTGATGTTATTGTTTTCTTCCGTCCACTTCCTTGACGTCGGGCTACGCTACCAGTATCACGGTAACGAGCGATGGTACGAGACACAAAATATTTATTCTGGAGTGCTCTAACGATAGCCACTTCTGGTTTTCCAGCCAAATATAAAGAAATCGCAGTATCACGCTTGAAATGCATCACGAATAACTTTTTTTTTTTTGAAAATTTTCATCAGAATGCTTTTGTACGCTTATAAAAAGTATAATGAGCTGTCACTGGAATAATTTAAATAGCTGTCGGGCGAGTGGCTTAGAAATTACAGCAGTCTGATGTTGGTTGCAATTTTTTCATTTCGCCCTATAGAGTGCATATTACGCATGTGAGGAACTTTAACAAGAATTCGGATGAATATATGGGAGCTATAGCTTTATCTGAATCGATTTTCATCAATTTTAAATTATTTGTTTCTAGACTGAATTCGGTCGGATGTGCCAAAATTCAGTTCATTTGAAATAATCTTGATAAATTTGGCAGAGGTATTTCTGGTCTGTATCTGATTTCTGGTACCAAATATCAATCTTGTAGAGCACATACTACGAATGTGAGGGACTTAAACACCAAATGGGATGAGACATATATATGGGAGCTTAGGCTATATCTAAACCCATTTTCACCAAATTTAATGTACTTTTACTGGACTGAATTCGGCCTGATGTGCAAGAAATCAGGTCTTTTGGACTGATATTGGCCATGTGATATTAAGATGATATGAGGGAGCTATATCTAAATTTAAACCGATTATCACCAATTTCAATAAAATTCGTCCTTGGCCTTGATTCAATCTAATAAAAATACGTCCTACATTCAGAAGAATACATGAAGATCCTCAAAATCAAATTCCTCCTCAGGTTAGATTGTTTTGCGAGGTAAACTTTTAAATCTCCGCTATTCGTATCTTCTATTAATAGCCTTATTTCCATAATCTGCTGGATTTTTCTCATTTCTTGTATTGTACTGTGGTATTATTACAATAATAACTATTATTTTTATTTGAGAACTGTGTTTT